TCAATTACAAATTCATAAACCACAAATAAGGAGTTTGTTAATTTAAGAACTTCTGGATCTTTTACCTGCTGAAGTTCTCCGTCATTCTGTGACTGTGCCGTGACCTTCATCAGCTCCTCTTCATGTTTCTGGATCTGTTCCTGGAAACGTACATCCTTCTCACAGACCACAGCCTGCAGCTTCAGCAACTGAAAACAAACACAACCAATCATTTTAGAGCTTCCTCATGAAATTTAAAAACATTCATTACAAAGTCCAGAGCTACGTCACCTGTTCAGCATGGACAGATTCCTTCTCCTGAAGGAGCTGCTCGGTGGTCTGGAGTCGCTCCTGAAGCCCTCTGCTCTTGGCTTCCTCCTCGCTCAGCTTGTTCTTCAGTTCTTGGAGCTCCTCCTCGACCGCAGCACCAGCTCCTGTAAAAGAGCTGTCTGGACTTTGCTGTAGACAAAACAGATGTTCAAGTCAGATAAAAACCAAAGTGCCTGAGCTTTGTGGTTAAAGAGTGGCAGATAATAGTCTGTATAAGATATCTGCTGTAGAAGCAGGGTTTCTGCAGGCTTCAACAGGTTGAATTTAAGACCTTTTAGGACATTTTTAATACAATTATGAATGCAATTTAAGATATATTTCATAGAAGTAATATTAACTTCATTTAATCTAATCCACAATAAAACCTGTCGAAACCACATTTTAAGGCCAAAAAATTCAGATTAATTGATTTTTTAACCTTTTTTAAGACCCTGTAGACCACCTCTTAAAGGTAACTAGGATGATTTGTAATAATCGTATAAGCATGATAAACTTACTGTTGCTCCTCCTTGTCCTTTCAGATCAGTTATCTGTTTGTTTAGTGAAGCCATCTTGGCTTTGGCCTGCAGTTTGAGTTTGGTGAAGCGAGCCTCAGCACAACATTTAATTTCTGGCATTTTGTGAAGCGTACAGCGACGCTGTTACGATGGCGGGGCATGACCAAAGATGTCAACCTGATCATTCAAACCAAGGGCAGGCAGCTGTGTCATGGAGTCTAATCTCTGGCCCACTATATCTCTTTTACAGTGTTTGTGGCCTTTCCGTGGGGCGCAGCGTGCAGTGGGAGTGGTGGACGCAGTTGAAGTGGACCGCCTGTTGCACGCTACACGGTGTCAGTGTTTGACTTCCTATGAGGTACAGACATATGCACTGGGGGGGAAAAGGAAAAGTGTCCCCCCGCGGTCCAAAATGAGATCTGCCCGAGCTCAGACATGGAAAGCCGCAGTGATTTTTTAGAACCTTCTTTAAACTGTTTATTGATAATGATATATAGGTATTAGTTAAATATCAGAGACCAACCTTGAGATTTGCTAACAGAAGCTGAATGAGTGAAAGACAGAAATTAAGACGCAATAAAACGAGGCTTACTGAATCATAAATTATAATGCCTTTTTAACTTTTATAAGCTCTTAAAACATAGCCGTTTGTTAACCATAGGGTCTTGTTAGTGTTTATAGTTGTACGTGTATGTATATAAATTGTTTTAATCGACATTTTGTGTTTTGTCAGTGAAAAGCTCCTTCCCAAATTAACTATTTGTCAGGCATTTGTGAGTCAGGTCCTCTCACACGATTTTTGTTGTCGTCCAGCTTGTCGATTTGTTCGTTGTTTACTCTGGTGTGTGTCGGCTTTAAGTGCTGTCTCTTATCTGCGAAATGTCACTCTCCACTGTAGTTCCTACGATATAGTAAGTTAGCAGAGGCTACTTAGCGAGCTAACGCTGAATACTAAATAAGGACAGCTTCTTCTTCAAAACCTGCTTTGCTCTGTTTTTATCCTCCTCCGTGCATGGCAGCGTTGTTAGGCAGCCCCCTGCAAGTGTTGTGTTTTTTGTTTTCAGAAGAACGAGGAGCTTTTTGACTCACCTGTGCGACTGCTTCCCAGGTGAATGTGTCTGCTTTTTATTTGATATATTTCCTCGGATGGATGTCAGAGCATAGCCACATCACCAAACATTCCCGGAAACAAAACTTCCCTTGCTCTGATTGGACAGCAGGGATCTGCGTATATAAGGGACTGTCTGCAAATGTCCAGGCCGTCTACTCCTTTCTAGGGAGTATCTGCATTTAACATATACATGATGCAAAAATGAGCCCTTGAACCAAAAGAAAAACCAAAAAAAACAACATTTAATTTCTGCATTTTGTGAGCGTACAGGCGACGCTGTGACGATGGCGGGGCATGACCAAAGAGTCAACCTGATCATCAACCAGGGCAGGCAGCTGGGCAGGAGTCTGATGCTGCTGGCCCACTACACCACAGTGTTTGTGGCCTTCGTGGGGCGCAGCGTGCAGTGGATGGTGGACGCAGTGAAGTGGACCAGCCTGTTTGCACGCTACACGGTGTCAGTGTTTGACTCCATGTACAGACATCTGCACTGGGGGAAGAGGAAAGGTGTCCCCGGCGGGTCCAAAGAGATCTGCCCGAGCTCAGACATGGAGCCGCAGTGATTATCAGAACCTTCTTTAACTGTTGTAGTCTGAAGAAAAGGAAGTCTGAAAATCAGAGACAACCTTGAAGATTTGCAACAGAAGCTGAAGGAGTGAAAACGATGAAAGACGCAAAAAAAACGAGGCCTTACTGAAGTCATAATTATAGCTTTTTACTTTTATAAGCTCTTAAAACATAGCCGTTTGTTACATAGTCTTGTTAGTGTTATAGTTGTACGTGTAGTTATATAATGTGTTTAATCCACATTTTGTTATTGTCAGGAAAAGCTCTTCCCAAACTATATTTCAGGCTATTTGTGAGGCACTATCGGGGGGGGGGGGGACCTGTTGCTGCCATTTATCACCTGCTGATATGACTGTTAATGCAAATGTGTTACAGGGTAATGCAAACTTGGGTAAAATATGTGGGAAGCGCACATACTGGACGCCTCTTCCGTGTTACATTATTGCACTACAGCAGAGGTTAGGATAGGTATTGTTGATTAAAGGCTACATGAAGAATTCAGCATAACACTAAACAGCCAAATGTTGTTGTTTTTATTAACATATGTGCCTGTCTTTTTTTATTTTTCTGTAACGTTTG